TAGTTTTACTACCATTGCTGGGTGGTGGGGAGTTTCTAATACTACAAGCTATTATACCATCAAATATTCTAACATACTATACCAATAAATAATTAATTCATTCATATGATATTATTATAGCATCGTAACACATTAAAACATATTATAAGTCAAAATCAAATTCATAACACTATAGCATGAAATATTCCTACAATATACTATACCAATTTATATATTATAATAAAAAGAAAATAATTAAAGCATATGTATTATTATTATCATATAGTATAGTATAATAATTATAATAATATATTATTATAAATTTATATCAGAATATCAGTCATGACACTATAGCATCAAATATTCTAACAACATACTATACCAACGTATTATCCCTATACGATATATTACAAATTCATATCAGAATACATCATTCAAAATCTATTATCCTGTATCATAAATAAATGAAAAAAAAAAAGTATATATATATATACTTATATTACTATTAATATATACACATATAAATATAAAAATAGAAAAAAAAGAACTTCCCTAACCTATCTTATCCACCCACCACCATTATTATAATATAAAAATATATTATCAATGTTCCATTAAACCGGTAAGCCGGAAGAGAAAAAAAAAGGAAGAAGAAAGATGTTACGTCAAATAACGTCTTACACGAAGTGACGTCCGGCTTGTCATTCCTTCGAGGTGAATACGCTCGAAAGAGAGTTAACCAACCAACTAGAATTCCGTTCAATATTTTATGTATACCGGACGCGACGTTACGAGCCCTATATTACAATAACAATAACATACAACTAACACCATGACTAGACCATACCATCGTATAATCTCTGTACAAGACACTACTACTAATTTTTCTTCCGCGCTTGTGGACTTTTTTTTTATCCCACAAATGTTCGATCATTTTTAAAATGAAAACTTCTTTAGAATAGGGACTGATTTGAAAAGAAATCTGTGGTTCAGGCAATGAAGCGGTAGATGGCGAGGCAACGGAGTGGTTATACGGATAGGCAACGGAGCGACAAGCCGCTATGCAAGGGCCACGATATTTAGTAAGAAGAGAAATAGAGACAAACATATAGGATTGAGTCTGCGAGAAAATGAGACAGAATATAGCTATATAGTTTTTTCTATTCTCGATCTCCTCTTTATGCTCTGCTTCGTAGTTATCGCTCCTGGTTGTATATGTATGTGTTTGTGTGCGATTGCATACTATGAAGCGTGGACACATATAGAATAATTTCGATACTATACCTGTTTGAAGGTAGGAGCGATAGAAGGGTAGAAGAATAAACAGAGATAAACACGTAGGTATGCGACAAAAGAATAAGGTCCAAACGAACCGACGGTCGAAATAAAGAAAGAAGGTATACAGTCTGTCTTTGTAAGTTGTATAAGAGTGTAAGTCTGTGTGAGTCTGGAAGGTATATATATACGTGTCATTTCTTTTCTATTTTTCTATTTCTATTTAAAAATGTTTCTATTTTATTGAAAATTTATATTAAATTCTTTATTTCGCAATTATTATCATTAATAATTATGAAATGTATAGAATATAATAATTGTATTGTCTGCAATATTTTACAACAACAAAAAAATGATTACAAGATACATTAGAGAAAAAGAATTAGACAACATTGTAGAATATTTATCTTATAAATATCCAAAGACATGTTTTTTAATTATAATGTTTGCGTATTTAGGAAATTTATACTAATTTTTCAATAAAATAGAAAAGCTTTTAAATAGAAGAAACTGGACACGTGACTAAAACAAATATTATTTGCTATTATATATCTAATAAAAATACAATAATATAACTTATTTTAAAAATATGGAAAAAAATATAGAAAAAAAACCTTTTTTTTTTAATTTTTAATATTATAAAATATAAAAAAGTTTTTTAACAAAAAAAAACCGACTTCAAAAAACTCTACTGGCATTATAAAGTTTAAAATAAAACTAAATCTAATAAATCAAATCTTAAAAGTCTAACCTATATAACCTAAATAACCTAATCTACCTAACCTATAACAAAATTTAACAGTTTTTGAAATCGGTACCAAGCCCTACACGATAGATTACAATATTACTAATACAAACTACTAAACACAATTAGTCGGTTTTTTTTTTTTTTTAATTAAAAAACTTTTTTATTTTAAACTTTTTAGTTTTTGAAGTCAGTTTTTTTTTTGTTAAAAAACTTTTTTTTGAAGAGTTCCGTTGTCTGTCTCCGAAACTCATCATCAGATCTATATGAAATTAAAATGGGACCATTTCGGGATAAACCCCTTTCAAATAAAAAAAAGAATTTTGCAAATCCGTCTATATATGAAGGAGTTATGCCCGAATATACATAAAAAAAAAAATAAAAAAAAATACAAACATCCGAATTGAGAGCCTCCTCCTTTTTGAAGTCGGTTAAAAATGCATTGAATCGTATTGCTCTCTCAGCTTATCGAACTGTGTAAACAACGAGTCTCGAATTTGGGATCCGTGGTAAGCTCCACCGATTCACGCTGGGCTTTCAACATCTTAAAAATGTTTTTATTTTATTGAAAAATTACTATAAGTTTCTTAAATACGCAAATATTACAATTACTAATATAATTTTCTTATATGCATGGGTCAGTACATGTCTTTGGAAATTTTTTATAAAAACATATAATATAAAAATCAAATTTAATAGACATATTTTGTCTTTATGAATCAAATATATTTTATAAAGAAGCAAAATATAAATGTGACAGTCATTTATTTGCTTTTGAATGGAATTTGTCAGCTGCTCCTAATGTATCCTACAGTGTTCTCTAATTCTTTTTCTCTGATGTGTCTAGTAATCCTTCTTTTTTTAAAATATTTCAAACAATACAATTATTATATATTCTATGTATTTCATAATTATTTATTATAATATTTGCGAAATAAAGAATTTAATACTAATTTTTCAATAAAATAAAAACATTTTTAAATAGAAAAGATATGACACGTTTTGTTAAAAATGTATTTTTATTATAAATATAATAGCAAATAATATTTGTTTGTGTCACGTGTTCAGTTTCTTCTATTTAAAAGCTTTTCTATTTTATTGAAAAATTAGTATAAATTTCCTAAATACGCAAACATTATAATTAAAAAACATGTCTTTGGATATTTATAAGATAAATATTCTACAATGTTGTCTAATTCTTTTTCTCTAATGTATCTTGTAATCATTTTTTTGTTGTTGTAAAATATTGCAGACAATACAATTATTATATTCGATATAATTCCTAATTATTAATTATAATATTTGCAAAACAAAGAATTTAATATTAATTTTTCAATAAAATAGAAACATTTTTAAATAGAAAAGAAATGACCCGTTACGGACGGTTGACGGTGGTGGTAGTGGGGGGCGTCTTATTCTCTCGAAACTTAATTTTTGAAGGTTTTACTTCTAACACGTGTGATCTGCACACATGTTGTTTTTATCTTGTAAAAAAGAACGGGATAAAATTTTTCATCTCTTTTTTTTTCTATTTGTTTATTTGCTATACTTTCCTCCTAGTTTTTTTTTTTTTTACATTGGTTAAGCAACACCAATGACTATACTTTAATCAATAAAACATATAAATATGCAAGTAAGAAAAAAGTACTAGATAAGGTTTATTAACCTTTTAGGTATAACGCGCCACTATAGTGGCTTTCTTAAAAATATATTATACCTAATTTTAATTCTTCTAATATTCATTTGATTATTAATTGATTAATTAATAATTAATTCGAAGAAACAATTATTTAAAAACAATTAACATAATAAAAAATAATAATTATAAAATAAATTTATAATAATTAAAGTAGAATTAGAGCTTTTTCTTAGAAGAGAATAAGAATTTGCAACTGCAGTGAGGGTTTGATTTTTTTTTTATTTTATTTTAGAGGGTATAATAATAATAATACTGATAATAATAATAATAATAATAATAATAATAATAATAATAATAATAATAATAATAAAAGCTTTAGAAATGCAACAGGTTTTTCGAGACGAGATAGACGGATTGGATGAGAGAGAATCGTTGAACAGAAGAAAGTACCTTCGACTTTATCAAGGGCTTCTCGGCCGATTACGTTTCAAGATTTTCTATCTCGTTCTCACTCACAACCACAATCCATGTACCCCAAACCCTTACTCCAATCCCGAACAACCCCTACACCTATCAACCACCTTAAACTTCTTTCGATTCTTTTTATTTTTACAAATAAATTTTCTCATTTTCATTATTAAAAATAAATATATTATTATCAGATATATTACTATTATTTATAATAATAATAACAATCTTTTCTCTTTCTCTCTCTAATGATAACATCGTAGATGATCTTTTAGTAAATTTCATTTCTATACGTGTATGTTCTCATGTGTAAATATATATATTATATAGAAATATGTATATGTGTTTGTGATGTGGGTGTATATAGTCAAACTCATCTACCGAATATGTATATATATATATATATATATGAGAAGTTGAGCGAGCCAGTAAGCTAATTATCCGGTATGTGGTCTTTGAAGAGAATGCAACGTGCACACGGTTAGAGTAGAACGATCGTTACCTTCCTACATAACGTGAAATGAATTCATTACGAGGCCTAACATCCTAACATCCTATATAGAAATGTATATAAATATATAGGGTGTACTAACTATTTGTAATTTTTTTTTACAATTTTTTATTATTTATCCAAATTTTTTAGAATAATTTTAACTATTCTTAAATACAAATGTATCAAAGCAATATATTAAATATATTGTTTAATTAATTATTTATAATTATAATATTATATATTATATTATTATATTATATATTTATAATATTATATATTTTATTATATTTATAATAAATAATATAATATTAATATATTATATACATATATTCTAAAATTATAGAATCAAAATTGATTTATTAACTAAAAATGAAACAGAAAATAAGTTTTTGTTGACTCACCTTGTATATAAGTGCAGAATTCTTAACATCGAGAAGAAGGTAGCTATTAAACTGGAGTAACTTTGCAATCCCACGCTCCTTCCCTACGAAAACAATTGAATTTTCTTTTTTATATACCTTTTTATTTATATATATAGAATATATAATTATACATCTCTTTTTTCATAATTAACAAATATTTAATAATCTTTAATAAAATCATCAAACGAACGAATTTAACCTACCAAATTTTCCCTTCTTTTTTTTCTTTTTTTTTAAATAAATAATTGGATAAATTATTAATTAAAAATTTATTTTTTAATAATATTTCTTAAAACTTTCAAACGCCATACATTTTATTATATAAATTATAAGAATAATAATAAATTTAACTTGAAACTCAAAATGGAACGCCATTAATAACATTTCTTTTGACTTTATTTGACTTTTTTAAAATTATAAATCAACATTAAATTCATAAAAACAAAACAAAAAACACATTAATTCACCTAATAAATTTCATTTAATAAAAAAAATAGCTTTCAAAAAACTTTTTAATTCTACGACCATTTAAAATTACGTACAACGTAATATCCTCGACAAACATAACCTAACAATTTTGCGATATATCATCTATCAAAAGAAAAAAAATGAGAACTTAAAAAAAGTAAATAAAAAAAAAAAAATCAATTTAACATTTCACATACATATATTCTTCATAATAAAAAGAAAAAAAAGAGGTATAATAATCGATCATCTCGTGAAAAAAAAAAATAATATTCATCGTCAAAATATCATGAAAGGAGGTGTCACTCACGTAAAGGTAAGAAAGAAAGAGAGAGAGAAGTTTAATGAGAGAGTTGCCGAGGAAGTACGCAACCAACGTAAACTTAGCGTAGGTTCTCGCTCGCGCGCACGTGTAAAATGCGCGCGCGCGCGCGCGCGTGCAACCACACACCTGCGTATTATTTCACGAGTTTTGTATCTCTTTCTCTCTCAAAAACATTTACTTACTCACTCACTCACATTTTGTTTGTCTCTCTCTCTCTCTCTCTCTCTCTCTCTCTCACTCTTTTGAGTTATCTAAATTTCCCCCACCCCACTTCACCAGACCTGCCACCCACCACCACCATTGACCGCTCCCGTGAATTCCGCGAACAACGCGACTCAGCGCATCCCCACTTCTCTTTGTCACCGGTTACGCGCTCGTTTATTGGCTAAGCCTTTGCGAAAGTTACCCCTACTCCTCGCGACACTCATTCGACCCATTCCATTCAAGTCAGCCGAGGTTCGCAGACGCGTCGCGACGCGCCAGGCCACGTTGGTTGTTTTTTCTATTCTTTCTTTTCCCCCTTTTTGAATTCTTCTTCTTTCATCATGCTTTTTTATAGTGAATCATACCTATTGTTTTATAAATTTCTGTAATTTTTAATATTCACAACAACAACTAACAATTTCTAAGTGTTTTACTTTTTATCTTGAATTATTTTTTATTTTATTGGTAGTTAAAATCAAACTATATACATATAATATAGTTCAAATGACTATACTATACTAACCGCACGATGTCAATAACCTAGAAATATATATAGTATATAAGAAATTAGTAAAACTAGCCCTAATTCTTTTGAAAACAACTGTACCTAGGAAACTAATTCCTATACGCTATCTGTAACCCTACTGAATCCATATAAATTTATAAAGTTTTATAAACGTCCTAAAAATACAAGCTTATGGTTCTCTGTGAAGAAAATAAATCCTACATTTTGCAATATGCAGTCACAGTCACACTCACAAGTAAAAACACATGTACAACGTTTAGTAGCCAGGAGTGGGGATTACGAAACACCGCACAAAGAGGAGACTGAAAGAATAGGAAAAACTATACACCATATATTTTATCTTATCTTGCAAGTTCAATCCTGCAGATGTTTTATATGTTTGTCTCTTTTTCTCTTTCTAGTGACGTAGCATTTTAGCTTGCTTCAATAACTATTCGAATATTCCCGCCCTAACATTCGAGTATTCTCATCCCTATTCGTTTTCTTACCATTCTGGTCAGCTATTTTCAAATCACCTCAACATTTGAACAAATTGAGCGCCACATGAATTTTTACGGAAATCTTCATCAGGCCACGTGCGGTAAAACGAAATTTGAGCATCAGGCACATGTGCCCGACATGGCCTGAACGGGAAGTTCAGAGCCAATCATTTATGATTCACATGGTATTCGACTTGTAAAAGATGTTTCACTTTGAACAGAAGAACAAATTACTGACAAAAATGATTAACCGTTTGAGTGCGGCGAAGCGCAATCGCGCTTCGCTTGTCCTATGCCAAAAATGCGGAGACGCGCAGTGATCCCAGAGACTTTAGTTCGTCTGATCGACACAGGGGCGTAAAATTATCGTACACACTAGGGATCCTGTAGGAGGGGATGCGCCATTCATATTCAGCTCACGTGCCATTGGCTGAAAATTTTGGGGGACAGCTTGAATTTATAATAATTTTTTCGTGTAACCTATTCTATTTTAATATAAATTTTTAATTATCATTAAATATAGTTCATTTTTTTTCTATATTTGATGCAATTTATTATTTCATAATTATTTCAATGTTTGAATCATTCGCGCGCAAAATCGAGTTCCGGTCCCCCAGCAATGTACATGGCGCATCCCTCCTATAAGATCCCAGTACACACCGGAAAATTATCGTACGCCCCGGGAAAAATTTGAATTCCAATAATTTCTCGGATGAGATTTTCAAAATCAAGTTGCAACTTTTTCATAGTTGATGACCTTTTTAGTTAGAACTTTAGAGTCTTTTAGTCTTCAACTTCAAAACCCTATCGTAAAACCGATGAAAACGGCGTACGGCAGGGAGAAAGACTTGTTCGTGTCGTACACGGATCGTGGTGGTGGATCTCGAAATTTCGATTCACTATCGGAAAATCGTACCCGTTTGCAAAATTTGATGACTAAAAAAAAAAAAAAGGTCTTCAAGTTTTTGAAATTCCAAATTGGATCGTACAGGCTGAATTTTAGATCGTACAAGGCCTCAAATTATCGTACGCGTACGATAATTATCGTACAAATGGGATCACTGGAGACGCGTGACCACGTTGCTGTTCGTTAGTATAATTTTCGAATTAATTGAGAACAGTTGTATTTATATCCATTGCAGTTAATATAATATATTCTGATAATTGTCCGGGTAAAAAATTAACTAGACTGCAATTTACTTCAAGCATTATTGATACTATAGAGAAGGAATGGTTAGCAAGCAAAAATGCAACAGAAAGACTATCAATAAGTAAAAAGTTTTCTTTAGAAAAATTGCCTGGACGAAACTTGCGACAGTGTGAGGTTTGCAGTAAAAAAAATGGAAATGGAATTAAACGATACAACTTAATTTGCACTGTATGTAAAAAAGGAATTCATGGAATTTGTGCAGCAAAACACTCATGTAATAAGTGAGAATAAAAAACATTTTTGTTAGTAAAAATTAATTTTTTTTTTTATAATAATTAGAGTTAATTATAACCATTTTTATTATTTTCCAAGAAAGTAACTACGCATTTTATTCCGCAATTTTAGCACATGCATAAAAAAGTTCTTCCTCACTCAAACGGTTAATATGAATATAGATATAATAATAACCTATTAATTTGAAAAATGAAGAATAAAATTTTGGTACAAACCTAAAGTTTAAATATATCTTTGAGCAAGATGATGAAATTATTCCACGTGATTAATCGAAAAGAACCCTTAAAAACAAAAATAAAATAAAAGAAAAAAGCAAAAAAAATAAATAAAAAAGTAAAAGCAAAATCAACACCAAAAAATCAAAACCAAAACTAAAACTTAAACTAAATTGTTTTTACAATTTTTTTACAATAAAATAGGAAATAAAAAAAATATATACCATAACCTTTATTTATATATATATATACATTAAAATAGATATATGAAGAAAAAAATAAAGCATAATAATGCAAGGAAACGATGTAATCGTATAAGATATTTGAAAAATTAACTTTTATAAAAAGCGAAGAAAGTTACCAATATTAATTATAACCTGTCCGTCTTCTAGTTAGCTTCACGAAGTACTTGGATTATAACAAAGAGGTGTTCTAGCTAGCACGATATATACAAAACTGAACAACCTGGCTGATGTTGCTGGTATATATTAGAAAATCGGTAAAAAAAAAATGACGTAGGCAGAAGTCAAACTAAAAAAAAAAAAAGAGTGGGAAAAACGAGCGAAAGAAAAAATTTAAAATAAGAGAGACAGGAAGAGATGAACGTAGTTGAAAAACCCTCTCCTCTTTCTGTCCAAATAGAAAAACCCCCACCAAAAATAAAATAACTTGAAAAGGATGAGTTAGAAAATAGGAAAACGTAAAAGAAAACTGTCCCTCTCTTCCCCTCAGAGTCTCTGCCCCTATTTCATGGTTCTCACTGGATGAGCAGATTTGTGAATAGAATATATATATATACCTGAACATAAATTCTTGGGATATATCGGAAAAAACAATAATTTTTTTTCTAATTTTATCTTACCTTTTTTTAACAATATTTATATATTAATTATACATATATATATTTTTCTCACACCTGGATCGAAAGTTCGTTTTTGCTCCCTGTTTTCAGAGAGCAAAGTGCCACATTCCCTCCCGCTTGAATGTAGTAACAAATTAGTGCGCATGCTTCAATTTTTTAGCGCATGCGTACTAGTTTCTTAACCTTAAAAGTGTTTTAATAAATTACTGCTCATGCTTATATATATTATATATTATGATATATAATTAATGATTTTAATGATAACATGTGTTGTCTCATAAATTTTATATTTTATTTATTTTTACAAGTTCTAAATATTTGTTTAGTTTAATATTACAAACATAAATAGGTTACTACGTATAAATTTAATTATTTTCTTGATTATGAGAGTTGTATTTGTTATTATTTATTATAATCTGTTCAAACTCACAATTCTTGAAAGTGACAAAAGGTGTATTGAAGGTCAAAGAATCAATCACTTCGTTCTCGATTTGAATTTCATTTAAAT